AAATGGGAGTTTGGAATTCTTAAATCGACTCACTGGTTCCGTGCAAGTTGCTAAGGTGAGATTATTTCTGCCAGGGCAGGGACGCTACAGCGGGGTGAGTACCGCTGTGGCGGGACATACGCGACTTAAGTCGAAAATAAACACCAAAAATGTTTTATTCTGCACTTTTCAACTTTGAGAGCTAGGAAACGACCCCGGGTGCTTTCTTGACGGTTTTTCACCATTCTTAAGGCTAAATGTAAGGTTTTAACTCCCCGAATCCATTTTTTGATCCGTAGATCATAATCTAATGGGTAATTATCGATGGGGGAGGGTTTTGATATGTAATTTATGGTGGAAAAAGCCTCAATCTGGGTATAGGGATCATGGGTTTGATCTAGGATTGATAGTGTTGACTTTATTTCGTGTAATTAAGTCTTGCTTATTGATCCTAGCATTATATTGATTGTTTGTAGACCAAGAACAAGCGGAAAGGATTTGGAAAGGGAAGAATCAAGTTTCTTAGAGGATTCAAGCGTGTTTGAGGTAGGTGATGGTTGTGATTTCATGTTGTGTGATGTATGTTTGTTCTTGCTTCATTATAATGCATGTATGTATGCGGATGTTGCATTATTGATCACACTAATTGTAAATGAGGATAGATGAATGATGAATGCTAGGGGTGTACAAAACCGAACCAAACCGCAAACCGAGAAAAAAAACCCGACTTGTGGTTGGTTTGACTTGGTTTGGTATTGAAGAAAAAAAACCCGACTATTTTTGGGTTGATTTGGTTTTAACTAAAAAAAATCAACCCGAGACCAAACCAACCCGACATTATATATATAATTTTAAAATTTTATTTTATACATAATAATATTTACTTTGATATAATATTTAAATATTTCTTATACTTTTTCATAGTTTTTAATCTTTTAATTTATTATTTCAAGTTTGAAACTTAGAATTCTGAATAGTTTAATAAAGATTATAGTCCACAAATGTTGGTAATTATAAAGGTTAAATCAAAATCAAATTAATACTAATGCAAAAAGAAAATCAATTCAACACTAAGAATGACAATAATATTGAATATTTGTTCTATGGTTTTACATTGGTTTATTCAAATACATAATCTAATTTTAATTTCCTTTAATATTTAGTCATGTAACTAATACTTATTAAACTTAATTTTAGCATGATTTAGTACTTTTAAATTATGATCATTGTCATTATTACTTATTAATTTGCAATATTTGTTTTACGCGATTTCATTATTATTATTTTTTTGTTGGATATTTTAGTGTCATTAATCATATCATATTGTGTTATATTTTTAAGAAACATCTTAGATAGTTGTATTTTGGTAGGACTAAAGAAATATTTGAAGTACAAGTAAATTATATGTTTGTATGAATACTTTACCGGAAAAATCCGAAAAAACCCAAAAATCCGAAAAACCCAAAAAAATCCGGAAAAAATCGAGGTTGAAAAACCCGAGTTTTATTGATTTGGTTTGGTTTATAGATCTAAAAATCCGCCACAAATGGTTTGGTTTGATATTTGAAAAACCCGAACCAACCCGGTCATGTACACCCCTAATGAATGCCATGAATCATGACTTGATTGTATGATTATAAGAATGTACTTTATGATTGTGATTGTGGCTTGTTGAATGGATCGGGTGTTGCGTTCCGACACACTAACTTGGATCGATTGCCACATTTCGGCATAAATATGGGATCGGTTGTCACGTTTCGATATAAACATTGGATCGGATACCCCTTCTTGTTTAGACTTCTTGATCTTGTTAGAGTTTTGGTACATTGACTTTCAGGTTCTAGGTATTACTTCCACAATGTTAGTTTTGGTTGTTAGACTTTTGGAGTTTATGGGAACTCCCTATCTTTTCCTTAGCATTTAAACTTGCTTCTGTAACGTTAAATGCTTTAGTATTTTGATTAAGTTGGTTAGCTAATTAGTATGAATGGTTCTCCCACCGGAGGATTAGTGTGGGTGTCATTCACGATGGTCTAGGTCGTGACAGTTTCAATATTTAAAAAAATAATATTTTAAAAGATGTTAATAAGTAACTTTACAAATAAAATGAATAGGATGGTATATTTACATTTAAAGTAAACTAAAAATGTTTACTAGATTATAAAAGAGTAGTTCTTCATTAAATTATATAATCAAATTTTTACTTTATTTGATTTTAAACATATTATTCTGAATAGTGAACTAATGTAAGTTTGATTTAAATTTAAAGTTGTCCGGCCAAAATTTGATATTTTTTTATATTATATAGAAATATGAAGTTGAGGACGATCGAGGATAATATGGTCATTTCATATATATTTCATTTTAAAATTCTATAAATTCTATTTTTAAATTTGTCAAAATATTTTTTCAAGTGACTAAATTCCTCCATAAGTTACATGATTATTCTAGAAACTATAATTTATAAGATTTTTCTAGAACTAACTATGACACAAATAATTAGATACCAACTCATTATTCATTTCATTCACTCCTCAATTCTCTCCCCTCTCATGTCTTGTACCAATAAATTTTTCGTCCTTTATTTCTGATTTGCATCATAAATATTACACACTTCGGTATAGATCTCTTATTAGAAAGACCAATAATGCAGTGTTTTTCAACATTAAGAATTTCCTTTTTGATCAATTCCTTACATAATGGCCCTACTTTTGTAAAACAATTATAAGACAAAAGTAAAATTCGTTATTTCGAACACATCACTTATGGGACTTGTCCATATAACAAATTTTCACCAAATTCAACTGATCCACATTTTCCAAACACTCTAATGAATATGATAATGGTCCAGTTAACATGTTAAATCCAATATCAATCTCAATTGCAATTCTCAAAAGGCATAATTCATAGGGAATGCAACCAGTGAGTAAGCTCTTCAAGAACAAAATTTTCAACAATTTCGGAGCATGTTATGTCCTTTCCTTTGGTTCTCTTTAGACTTTTCAATTTCATGGTGTTGCTTTTCTTTTTGGATTGTAATGATAATTTTTGAAGTATCTAATTTACTTGATTTCTCTTTTTATGTATAATCCCAAAGCTTCACGTAACATATATGTCATTATATAATTTATTGAGAAACATATATTTATTTATTGCTATTATTTTAACATCAGTTAAAATCATTTTAAGCAAGTTATATAAATTATTATTTTAACTACCTCATGTTAAATTACTGCAATATATATTATATTAACTTTCTTAATATTTTTAAATTCTCATTATTTGAGGTAAAACATTCATTCATCAGGTATATAAATTAATTTAGAAAAAAAAACCTTACTATACTAAGTTGTTCTCCTAATTTTAGTGAATATAAAGACAAGATATAAAGTCATAATAACTTTTTTCATCCTTTTATCACTTTGTAAAGAATGTGATGATTCATTCTAATTTTCATCAAGTAGATCACTATTTTTGTTTGTTAATCACCTATAAAACAAATTTTAAGTGTATTCAAAATTAATAGGATCAACAGACTTGATTGCTTTATATAGTTTATGAAAATTGTTAATATATTGAGACTCGTAATTTTAATCTATTCTCTTGAATAATTTTCAAATAAAATAGAAAAAAATATTATTAAATTAATTATTCAATTCGGATATACATGTTTGACATGATGTTAAAATAATCACTGGAGCATGTGATATTTTTTATTATTATTATTTCTTATCATGTTTATTTGAAAATGTCATAATAATTTTTCTTTTCGAAAACTAATTAAATTTCTATTAGAAATATATATAATATTGTAATATCAAGCCCAACAGGCCTTTAAATTATCTAGTACTTATTTAATATAGAAGCAATGCGTTTTCGATATCTCATTGGTTCGTACCTTTAATTTCTATTTTTATGGACTATACCTTCTTTACTCATTTTTTTAAATAAATAAATAAATAAATATTTGATACTCTTTTTTCTGTTTTTAGTTAACTTTTTAGGATTACCAAAACTAGCTAAGGATGAGGGTTTTGTTACTACGTACCATTCCAATTATATTATTCGTTGAGGTCTTTTTTTTCCTTCTTTTTCATAGTGGGGTTATGAAAAAGACTTCAAGAAAATGAAAGAAATAGAAGTGTGTGGCCTTTGGCCCTTTGTTCCTTTTGATAATATATATATTTCTTCTGTTTCAATTTATATGAATTTGTTTGATTTGACATAAAAAAAATTAAAAAAACTTTTGAAACTCGTGATTTAAATAAGTGATAGATGTTTATATAAATAGATATTTTAAAGTTAAAATTATTAATATAGAAATATGTTATTTATTTTAAGACTAGCTAAAACAGAAAGTAAGTCATATAAACTGGAGAGCGGGAGTATAATAAATTGGGGTTGAAAATCAAACAACAAACTTTGTACATTACCCTTACTTACTTACCCCTTTCACTTTTTTTCTCTTTGCTTCTCTCTCTCTCACTCACTCACATTTGTAAGTGTGTTGTGTCTTTCCATTTTAGCTCCAATAGTCCTTTTGCAACCAAAATCTTGTCTGAGATTTTTCTATATTTGTAAGTCCTCATTGCTACACATGTACTATCTTATTATCTACTCCATAACTTATTACCTTTTCTTGCCTCATTTCTTCTATTTGATGCTTTTCTCTTTTCCTTAAACTTGCAAAAAACATCCTTATAATCTCTTCTTGTATGAAATTGGTACTTAGAATTACAATATTATTACCTTCATCAGGACTTGAATTAATTAATTTCAATCTTTCGTTGATTTGTGTTTTTTTTTTTAATAAAGGGATTGATCTAAAGAGATGGTGAGAGGGAAAACACAGATGAGGCGTATAGAGAACACGACAAGTAGACAAGTTACTTTCTCAAAGCGAAGAAATGGTTTGCTCAAAAAAGCTTTTGAGCTTTCTGTTCTATGTGATGCTGAAGTTGGATTGATTATTTTTTCTCCAAGAGGAAAGCTATATGAATTTGCTAGCTCCAGGTAATTAAATACTAACATATATATTTCTTACTTTTAATTTTATTGGTAAATTTTCTATCATTTTACATAAATCTAGCTTCATGTTAAAGATTATATTGCATTTTATGTTAAACATTATTGCATCGTTACAAATTTTCTTGCAGATCGCATCAGATCTCATATTTGTACCTGGAAAATCACAAACTATAAAAGATCGATGTAAATATAAGTCTATATATAGATGTAGATGTAGATCCAAGCCCTTTTAATTAATTAATTAATTAACCAATGGTTAAACAAATTCTAATTCTTGCTTAAAAAAGTTTCTCCAAGCTAAGCTAAGTACCTTCATGAAGAGGTTGGTACTGTAACCTATTTTAGAAACTCAACCCTAGTTAATTAAAAGATTCCTCTTAAATTACTACATTTTATTAACAACATAGTAAGTAATCATATTGTAATTTGGTTCCTCTAACCTAAAAAAAGAATAATAGTGTTAAATCTCATAGGACCAAATTAAGTTTTCCTTGAGTAATTATATTAGACAATAGAAAGTGTACAATTATCTTGTTTATAGTACTAGTTATCCTCATCTCATGTTTGGTTTAAGGGTGTGTTCGGTACAAAAGAAAATATTAACTTTTTTATAATGTTCAATTGTGAAAGTTGTTTGAAAATATTTTCTCTCGAAAAAAATGAATAAAAATAAGTTTCAGTACTAATGTCATATATATTGATTGTGTCTTCACTATCCTCTAATGCATCTCGTCTTCGCTCTCACCACGGCGCCGCCCATAATCTTCATTTCTAGGTAAGAAATTCACTTATTTTTCATATTTGCTTAGAATAAATGGTCAAGAGGTATATTGTGAACTTAAATTTAAGTGTTTTTTTTTTTTTGAAGTATAAATGGGAGCCAGTTGTCAAGTTATAGTAGTACTAGTTGATTTCATGCTCTATATACGTTCTTGGGCTGTTCCCATTATAACGCCACCTTAAGAATCTTTTGGGAAGACAACTGCCTATTTCTGTACGGACATCAATCACTATGCCTTTTGTGCTTCTATGTATGAGATATATCATACTATATTATATATTTCTGTCAGTAAAATCTTTATTTTCTTTCTTAATATATGGAATATCCATGTTATTACCCATAACTTTTGACATCCTAGTAAAAGGCATGCTTCCATAACTACAAACAAAGAGACAAATAGGAGAATATTTGATAGTTGTGTCTCCTCCCCTTTTTTTATTAAGTGTTCGTGTCAGTTTGCGTGCATCATGATTATTCTACCACCAAATCATTTATATTGTTTCTGATGAAATTTGAACCCTAATGCAATTACTCGTTATCGAATGCTAGTTTATATATGTTGATATTAATATGTAAGTGATGTTCAAAATTGGCAGCGTACCGGAGGTAATTGAACGCTATAAGAGACATACTAAAGATAAAGTTCAACCTGATGTAAATCAATCTGTGGATATTCAGGTAAATATGCAATTAGTGCATTTGCAAAAAAGTAAATAATTAAAGGCTTACATTATATATGCATATAATGCAGAATAATAAGCAAGAGACAGCAAGTTTGATGAAGAAGATAGAGCTACTTGAATCATCTAAAAGGTTCAATTATATATAGCTGTTATTTCATTTTTACTACTCCTTCCGTCCCAATTCATGTGACATTATTTGACTGAATATGGAGTTAAAAGAATAAAGGAAATACTTTGTTATGTTTATCGAATTGCCCTTATTAAAGTCACATCTAGTTGACTTTTCTTCACAATAAAGTGTTAAGTGAGACACAATACGCGTGAAATGGAGAAGGTGTCATTAAATAGTTGCTAAATGAGGAAATGTGACATTTCTTTTGGCGATGGATTAAAAAAGAAATATCAGGTGTCACATAAATTGAGACAGAGCGAGTATCTTTTTCTATGTCGTCTCAACATTGAGAGTAAGTTTTGAAAGACCTTTTCAATCTTCTAAATGGCAATTTGCATGCAAAACACAGGAAACTCTTGGGAGAAGGTTTAGGATCATGCAGCCTTGAAGAAGTACAACAAATAGAGAAGCAATTGGAGCAGAGTGTCACTACTATCAGGGCTCGAAAGGTTTAATTTTTTCACACAATTACAAGCATGCTTAATAACTTTCTATAATCTATTTTGAAATTTATGGAATTAGTAACTTGTAACGCATTTTTCGTTCTCTTCTTGTTTTCAGATGCAAGTCTTTAGGGAACAAATGGAAAGATTGAAAGAAAGGGTAAGACTAGTTGCATTGTCACAATTCATACATGCATAATGTCAATTATCCTATATGCTAGGTTGCTCAGACTCTTAAACATGCCAACGCGTGCATAAATGGTCAGACATTAGAAAACGATACTAAGGTTGACCTTTTTTAATATATATGTATCGTTGGTGAAAAATCCTGACTCTCACATTGCATGCGTAGGTCTATTTTTAGAGGATCAGTCATGAGTGTGGAAATATGGTTAGAGAGTCCGAACACCATAACCTATAAGTGGTTATGATATTGTTGCTTGTTATGCTTGTCTCCCAAGAATTTGTTAGTAACTTACGCTTATTATTTATTTCTTACTTTCTTATCTAATATATTATCCAGGAGAGAGCCCTTACAGCTGAAAATATGATGCTGAGGGAACTAAAGGTACAAATATCTTTTCCTTTTTTTGAGTCACACACATAGTCTAGACTCCCAAACCAAACTTCAGATCTATACAATTAATATTTATTTTTTTGAAATTTATGAACTTCAATTATATATGACTTAAATAAATCCGTCTAATTTGAGTATTGTTCATTGTTGTATTAGTTTGGAGGGGATGAAGAGAGAGGAAAATCAAGTGGAGAGAAAGAAAGAGAAGTAGTAATTTGTATAGAAGGTGGTAGCGATAAATCAGATGTGGAGACTGAATTGTTTATCGGACAACCTCATCATCATGACTCCAGAATAAGGCGTCCTGAGTGGTCTTGAGTGGTCCGACAAAGGACCACTCAAGACCGCAGAATTGCTCTCATGTGTCCTTATTTTGTACGTCAATTTAAAATGTATAAATTTTGACTAATTATCAAGTATAAACTAACTAGTATTCTCATCTGCTTAATTATTTTGGAGATGTATGAGTGGGTTTAATCTCTCTCTTAATTAAGATGGAGTTTAACTTTAATCCCCTCTTCTGAGATGCAATTTGTACTTATTGGGATGATGTAGTATTATTACATTTACTTTCACTTTAATAAAGCTCCTTTCTTTTATGATGTTCATCAGTAAACTTTCATATTATATTTTCTTTCTCTACTTCAATAATAAACATTATCGAACAACTAGAAAGAAATTACATTTAACTCTAAAAGTAATAAACTAGCCAACTACACGTCTACTTTAGGCAATCAACATAATTGTTGTTATTGGTCCTGGAGAGAGAAATAAAACCTATAATCAAAATGTTACGTATCGATGTAGCTTTTAAGGTATAGTTTTTGGTATTCGATAGTCATTGGTTTAATTCAATTCACGCTTAAGGTTCATTAAAAGAAAAAATGTTCTCAATATAAAGTTTATAACTTTTTGAACTTGGGGTTGAGATTTTTTATCATGGGCGAAGAGATTTTATCCGTCCCATAACAACCTCGAAACAATTGGCTAGATGAATTAGAGGGGTTTTTCTTAGTTTAATCGTACTGCTGACAACTGTCTCGAAAGTAACGGACTGTTTGGGTATCCACTTACTTTAATTTTAGCATCTTTTGCTTCTTCTTCATATTCATATAAAATTTCGTACAGAGGTTTTATTTTTATTTCTGTTACATTAGAAAGCCTTTTTTTTTTCTTGATTTTGTACAAAGGTTTGGCGATTTAGGGACCACTTTTGAACATGGCCTTTACTTTCAAATTTTAGTTGACCACATGATAACAATATTTTCATCAAATTTTCTTTGATTTATTATAGCATATCATAGTATTCTCAAAAATGTTTTCTGCTATAACTAGGTCTTTTTCCTGATAAAATTGGGGTAATACAGAGTTAAATCAATTAATTATTTAAAGCAAATCGAGTCTCAAATAAATGTATTACAATAATATAAGATACGTCTTCATCTCCACCCTACCCCCACACACAGAAATAAGAATCTAGTGAGGGTTGACATTCTCGAGTGATTTATAAGAGGTATATAATTTGTTTTCGATTTCTCATTGGCAAATGACACGTATATACTAGTACTTGACATATATTGATGTTTTCCCAACACTAAATATAAAAACTCCCACGGTCTTGTCATAAACTTAATCATTACTTGTATTACATTTTTATATGAGAACGTTCGAAGTAGCTAGGAGAGTCAAATCACCTCATTATTATTAGAGTGAATGCAAGCATATAGTACTAAAATTCCTATAATTTTCACTAGTAGGTCTCACACTATTTAGTATACCCCCACAATTTAAATTTAATAATTAGTTTGCTTTTCTTTGTAGTTATCAATTTGAAATTTTGTTCGCATACCTAACAGGTTCTCTCTTATCTATCAGGCAGCAACATTAATTTCCTCCTTTTATACTATAATTTCTAAGAAATTGAGTTTTGTTCACATGTAACATACATAGTTCATATGTCATCCCCATTTCCATTCTTGTACTACACGAAGTTTAGTTTTATCAAAACATTTCTATTTAAATTATTCCAATCTCGATTTTGAAACACTTCTATTTAAATTAAAATAAAACTTTTAAACCCCTCTTACTATGCGAACTTTCTTTACTTAACTTTAACTTTTCTCTAATCACATTCAAATATTCCATTTCAATTTCAACCAAATACTTTTATCCAACACACAACTTAAATATTTCTCGTTTAGAGTTAACAAGATTCTGTCATAAATGTCATTGTTTCCCATGAACTTGGATATAGTAAAAGCACAATCAACAGAAAAAATTACTCTTTGTTTACTTTTACTTGTCTACTTTAAACTTTGCATGTTCCTTAAGAAACAATGATTAATATGCGCATTTTCTATAATAATCATATTAATTAATTTATTTTTAAGTCTTGACAAATGATTTTTGAAATAAGTAACTAATCATGTTGGGGATAAACTAGAAAAAATAATAATTTTGTTTTAATATATTAAAAATGACAAGTAAAAATAAAAATATATTTTAAAAACAATGAATAAGTAAAACTGAACCAAGGGATACTAATGACTAATGAGATATGTGATCTATCTAGAGTCAATTGGGAACCAATTCAATACTAATGAGAAACAATTTTTAATTACAAATTGGAAAAAAAATGCGCATTTTATTGTTTGTAAAGATTAACCCTAGCTACTTTCTGGAAAACAAATTATAAAACTATTTAATATTTTGTTAAAAGTGTTAATTAATTTGGACGGCAGGCCAAGAAATGTATTAATGAGTAATAGAAAGATGATTTTATTTTTAAATAGTAAATATAATTAGCAATTTAATAATTTTACGGTTGTAATTTAATCATCCTGTATATAGGGTCATATCTATGACGTTGAACTTAATTATCTTTTGAAAATTGTCAATTTTTGCAGATGAAAATTAAAGAATTGATGGATGGAACAGTAATAAACAATTTTTATATTTTTAGGTTAAAACTTCTGTCTTATCATCAAAGTTGCAAGGTAGGTAATATTTTTCTATGTTTCAATTAAATTTATCTCGTGAAATGTCAATATAGCACTCTTACATGATATTAGCATTAGTATGTCAATAAAATTATCTCGTGAAAGTTAGAGGTACACCTTTAGATCCCAAACATTTTCGGAGATCACTTTTGGGATTTTATTATAAACTTTTTCTAGGACAATGAATATCATAGGTAGTTTTTCTTCTTCTCCCTGTACTATTAATGCTTCATTAATCTAACGTATGAGATGTAAACGTCATAACATGAATCCAAATTGATTCTCAGTGGACACAACTCTCCTTGTCCTCATCCCATCTCCACCATCTTCTTTCAAATTTTGACAGTGTAACTTAACAACTTGATACCCCTGTAGTTGTTGCAATTTTGAATATCACCCTTATTCTTAATTATATAACAAAATCATTGTACTTCTCATTTATTATTCGACATTTTTTATTTCCTAAAAATAACGTCGTCAAACAATCTAGTTAGTCATTTCATACCTAAAATATCCAAAAATCTATATGACTCTCCAAGTGCTCGAAATTATCCAATATATTATTCTTGTTCCTTTCTTCATTAAGAGTTTATTTTCAAGAATAATTTTAAAAGATAAAAGAAAACTCATTTGATCCACAAACATGGTCAAACTGATTAGTAGACTTAACTCCTTGATAATTTCAATTTAATTTGACAAAGGAAGAAAAATAGGAATTGAAGAAATAAAGGGTAAAATAGTCTTTCAAAATTTATTAAGACGAATAGAATATAGAGGTCAATTTGTGCGTAAAAAAATATTAAACATGATAAGTTGCCAAAAAAGGTACGCATCAGGTGATGTTAGCAATCCTCCTTAAAAGGAATTAAATTAGTCAAACACTCACCTAATCTCTAATATTTGAAGATTAACATAAGTATATATATAAATTATAATTAACTGGTCCCGGAGAGAGATTTTTTTTTTTTAAAAAAAATGAATTATTAAAAAAACAAATGCACTGGGTAGTAGCAAACATGGTGGCTTCTCGAGATTATTTTTAAAAATTTTAATTTATGTAAAATTAAAGTTTTTTCGATTAATGTACTAATAAGGGGATATAATAGTACAGTAAATTATTAATTAATTTATAGTTTATTTAAAATAAAGTTGGTTGGCGTGCCGACACCTGTCACCACCATCCACTACGTCCTGTTTGGGTGCCCACTTACTTTTGGCATTTTTCCTAATTTTGTACTAAGGTTTTGTTATTTTTTGGGACCACTTTTGAGCATCATCTAATTTACTCATTAATTTTAGCATCATCAAATAATTTTGTATTTTCTTGTTTTTTTTAATCTAATAGATAAACAATATTAAAAGCATATTTAGAGTCCGCTTGAATTGACTTATTTTTAGATATTTTTTACTTTTAAGCATCTATTTAATTTTGAAGATGTTTGAAAAGTTTTAAAATAAAACAAAAGTTAAAAGTAGGATATTTTCTATTAATACTTTTAACTCTTTATTTATAAGCTCATACAAACCTGCCCTTAGTAGATTATGAGCCCAGGGGGTTATTAGTCTTTCTGGGGTTAAAACAGAAAATATATTTTTAACCGTTCTTTCGAATAATCAAGAGTATTTTCAATATTTCTCAAAGATTTTTTTCGCAAATAATATTATCCCATTAATTAAAAAAATATAGGCGCCAACAGTACATGGCAAACATGAGGACAATTATAATTAACATGTTTCGTGCTCAATTGGTTACGTCGTCTTCTTTCGCTGTTATATACCCTACTGACGTATACAAAATATACATGTGCAATTTTGTTGGTGTATTAATAAATTTTTCCAATACAAGTAGTTGCATTAATCCATACATTTATTACTAGCGGAAGTCAGAAATATTGTTAAAGGTATTCAAAATTTAATATTGAGTATGAAAAATAATTTTTGAGTTATATATTTTGTACAATTTTTTTATATATATAATATATAATTTTTCGACTAATGATATCTAACTGATCAACCTAAATAAAATGTGACTATGCCACTATGTACTATTGGCCCAACATATGCTATTTTTATCTCGATTTACGTAACACAAGCAAAATTTGAAGAGTCAGTTAATTTATTTAATTTTTAAAGTTGTAATTACGATAATCTATAGTTTTTTTTTATGTAACTTTTAATAATATATGTAGTCTCTTTGTCTCAATTTATGTGGTACTGTTAGCTTTTTTATTTATTTTTTAAAATTTAAGTTGTTAATTATTATGACTCACAGAGTCACAGAACATTGTATGTCATAAAAGGGTAAAAAAATGTCCTTAAACTATGTGAAAGGAACAAAAATGCCCTCCATTTGTAGTTTGGTCCAAAAATGTCTTTTCCGTCAATATTTTGGTCCAAAAATGCTCTTATTGTTATTTAATGGGTAAAAAATGCGCATTTTTTCAAATAAATATATATTATTATTTTTACACATTCTTTTTTTAATAATATTTTGTTAAATTAACGAATGTTTATCTTACTTCAATTCAGAAAAAATGAAAATATTTCTTATTTTATTTTTATAAATATAAATTAATTTTTGGATATACTATGATCTTATATATATGACA